CACACACACACACGCTCACACACACACACACACACACACACACACACACACACACACACACACACACACACTCGGCAAACATCAGAGCGTACCATTGCGCAATCATGCGTGTATGTGTCGCAAGATCACTGTGTGAGATGGATGTCCGGACGCGTAGCCTAGCGGCTCCTCGTCCGGAACCGGTCGCGTAGCCACGGCCTAATTATTAATATTATCACCATCGTCGTCGTCGCCGTCGTCATTATCGTCGTCAAAACACCTTACTCGTCATTATGTACCGAGTTCCTAAATTAGACTTGATACCTCAGCACCTACAACCATGTAAGGTCCGATTTAGCTCTAGTAGTAGTACTATAGCCCGCGTACAGTTGCCGCTGGCAGCCAGCGGCAACTGTACGCGGGCTATATAGTACTACTACTAGTACAGTAGAGTAGAGCTAGGTCCGATTGTGAATTCAATGATACTGATAGTGACATTCCATCCAGGCAATGAATGAGGCATGATAAGAATCAGTGCCAGTGTCCACCTAGTACTGACATTGCGCGAGTAGGCCTAATCATACATTTCAGTTCAGTTGTTACGTAGGGCCTACTGTACTGTATGATGTATCGTGACAGTGACACGGTGTTGTTATTCGAGTCTCGATATTTCCGAAATCTTCGAGTTCAATCATTAATCGTTAAACTGGTTTGAGCTTATTTACTAAAATAACCGAAATGATTCACGTCTTACCTATTAAATACATATCCATAATAATTCGATTGGCATATATTCCATGACATCGGTTGATAGAAAATAGTAGAAACTCTACCGAATCGATCACAAATACAGTAATTTGAGTAAATAAAGCAGAAGCTTCGTGTCTGTGTATTCTCGCGGTGGTAGCGCCATCGCGCGGGAATGGATAAATGATTCTTTATTTTTTTAGTTTTTGCTGGCTCTCTAACCAATGTTACTAATTATTCTAATTTTATTCTGTTACATAGATAGCTCGAAATGACATTAGGCTTATTATGAATAATAATAATTGATAAAAAAAATAAAACGCAAAATAATTATTATCCCCATTGAGATTCGAACCTGTGACCTCTCGGATCTCCACCAAACACCTATGACGTCCACGGACGCTAACCAATAGGCTATCACGCAGGAGAAATTTTTTCTTTGTGCGCAGTGGCCTAATGGCTAGCGTGCGGGGACTTCACAGGGGCAATCCGAAAGGTCACGGGTTCGAATCCAGCCGAAAGCATTGTTTTTTTAATTTAATATCGTAATTACTAATGTTACTAATCATTCTTACTTTATTCTGTTACATACTAATTTCTGTATAATTCTGTTACCATTTAATATTGTCACAATTGCATAAAAGCAGTTTCCTTGAGAGAAGTTTCTAGATACTCAAGATCTAGATGCCTGCCACTCAAAATTTGTAAAAACAAGAACGAGAATGCACATATGGATGAACCGCATCCAAGACACAGATTCTAATAAGAGCATATATTTACTCTAAATAATATAATTAATATTAGGTTTACATGTTCTCGACATGAAACTCTTATCCATGTAAATGATAATCATCGATGCATGTACTTGCAATTTTAAATGCCCATTTTATTTTTAACATAGTTAGTTACACAAGGGTAAAAGCATATACACCTTCTTATATAGATAGATACAGGCTTGCAATAAAGATTATTGGAATACGATTTATTCAACAAAGTTAGCTTTAATTTATCCACCAACCATATGCTAAAATTATGTTTTACTTAAACTAACTTTACTAAACTACTTATAAACTTAGGATCCTATCGGTTGACCGCTTCTTTGGCCATACTATGCACATACACATGTATACATGCACGCACACACAATATGCATGTAAAGGTATCAAGTCTGTGCATTTATACTTTAAGGACATATTTTTCCAACACCGACCGACTAGCATAAAAATATTAATGAAAATTGGCTTAATGACAATTCAAGTACAGTTATCACCACTAAATTCACCGTTGAAGAAGAACTTACGCTAAAAGTACAATTTAAAATATTTTCAGGGTCCATGAACAAAAGTAGCTGCAACTGGTATCACGCAGCACAACGCATTGCACTTCTATTTCATAGTTCACGGTGCTGTACAACAAACAGTACAAGCTAAACAATTTTTTCTTTGACTACATTATATATATATATATATACATACATACAGAAACACATGGGTATGTACACAAAACAGTGGCTGAAAGTACCATATGCTGTATCTGAATCTTTCGTTTAGACAATTCTTTAAGTGGTAGCAGAAAACCTTCACAACTACAAATAGAACAGCTCCTTTATGACGTGTGTTCCATTGGATCACCCTACTTTAGCAGCTTGCTGATCATGCAAGATATACATATTATCATTAACCTACCTCCAATTAATTCTAAGATACAAATTCACGCAGTGCCACTAAAACATACTCGCTTACCAGACTACGCTGCACGCATACCAATGGAGTGCAGTTTCCATTCAAATAGCCGAATCACACCGATACTGGTACGCAATCTACAATCATTAATGTAGGGTTGCAGAAACGAATTATTATTTGACACCATTAATAAACCACATATACCAATAATTTTTTTATCAATGAAAAGTGCATGTATGTGCTGAATTATTTTCATATGAACTGTAGCATTGATCAACAACACAACAACACACCAAGGTAAATTAATCACCTATAACCTTCCTGTTGACTCTGAATAACTGATGTCTTCTACGGAGTAATAACTTTTTGATTATACACCTTTTAGCAAGTAACACGTGCACACATGCTCAGATATCGGCCGCCCTACAGCAAGTACAGTGCTACACGGAATCTTGTTCAAGTCCCTCTTCAACTTCTTACGAATGACCAGTCTGCATATAGGTTCTATTTACAGGTACCCGGGCACCTTGACAAATTTATTACTTATTTACACATCGATGGCATATGACGCTTTGTTACTTAATGGCCGAATGTCTCCTGGGACGCGTACACCATGTACAGAAATCCATCTTCGTCTTTCTCGTTTTCGTATACCATCGCCAGTGGCGTTACGATGCTGACTAGGGTGCGACTATTCACCAAGAGGAAGAAAGCTTGGTTCGGATGCAACTGCAGTCTACGCCTGTGTGAGAGAGCACGAGAACAGAGCGAAAATTACCCAAGGATAAGACATATAGATAAATTAAAGAAAATAACAGATAAATATATGTATCATCAGCATTTTCCCCGGGGAACTTCAAGAATAACACATATAGATAAATAAAAGAAAATAACAGATGAATATATAGGTATCATTAGGGTTTTCCCTCGGGAATTTCAGAAAGCATGTCGTACAATCAGGCAATTTATCCACAACTGCAAATGGGTGTGTTGTTAGCGACCCAAATGCATAAGTAAACTTAAATCAGTTCGGGTATGTATACATCAAGCTGTGAAAACATAGCATGGGTGTGTTGGGATTGTCAAAAGTAAACAGTAAACACACAGAAAGAGTGTGTTGGGATTGTAAAAAGTAAACACAACTGGAAATCAAGGCATGTCAATTAGGCAATTAGGTCTTGTCAGAGGGTTAATGGGATGTTGCACAATTAGCTTCAGCTTTAAAGGCCTGTAGGACCCGACATGCATTAAAGCCATGGGGTAAACCTTGCTTTAATATACCAATACGTACAGCTATTATAGTGAGGCCCTGAAAGAATTGGGGTAATGCTCTATAAATCCCCAGCATGAGGGAAAGCTGTAGTTATAGCATACCAAAAACACCATTAAAATAGAATAATTTTAGAAGTTTACCTCAGTATTTTCACGAGTTCACACATGTTGACGTGGTCCGGAACAAGGAACTTGGACTTGTCCAGCACTGGAAGCTGTTTCTCACCATGGTAACGTTCTATTATTATCTGAAACGAGAGCACGAATACAGGAATGTCAGTTTTGGATGTGGGAGCAACTTTTCGTAGGTTCCTCGTGAGAAGATGAGAGGGTTTGCTCTCACGCACTAGCTACATACAGGTTTTTCTCAGTCATGATAAAACATGTGATCAGCCTCACATACTGGGTTCACAACAAGTAAAATGGCTTATTGCTAGTATGGTTCTCCCAGGAGGCCTGCATTATTTCCCGCGAAACCACATCACAGTCGAAAATGCAAGTGCTGATACCTAATTTTGAATGTAAACTTGTACTTATCTGAATTTTAATTTGGATATTGTCTCTCAATGGCAACTTTGATTGGATGCTAAGCAAGCGAAATTCTGCTACACTGGCAAACATCTTAGACGTATTAGTTTTTTTTTAGAGACGTGTGAAGAAGACTTAGAAGAGGCCTGGCCAGCCTCTACGGGGCACAGCTCAACTCAGTTACCCCACGTGGATTTAGCTTGCTGTTTTGGTGTTGACAATATATATAATTTATATATTATTAGTTTTTTTTTAGATACAGCCTTACTGGAATCTTATCTGGATGCTGCTCTCGAATGTTTTGCACATCCCTCACTCTGGCAGCTGAAATAATTAATAAAAAATAACTGCAATAAATCCATCAAAACAAGCACTATCATAGTGAATATGATTTTTAACCATACATCGAGCAAGTTAGTTGAGAGAGTTGTGTAATTGTCAAGAGTGACAGATCGACGTAACCATATAGCTAGATAGCTCTAGTACTAAAGCCCGCTTACATTAACTGCCGCTGGCGGCCAGCGGCAGTTAATGTAAGCGGGCTATAGTACTACTACTAGAGCTAATACTAATAGCTAGATAGATAGATAGATAGAAAGAAGCGATAACAAAAATTGATATTGAGGTCGATACTACAGTTCATTGTAATTTGTGCAAACATGAAACAAGACCGATTGGTAAACAAACACAAACAGGTCATATGATACTACAGTACACTGTACAGTACAGTGAGTAGGCCTACTGATGCTAATGGAATGCATTGACATTGGTTGAATGAAAAAATGGAGCTACAAAGAAATGGCGTAGAATGAATGAATGGCTATAAATGGCGTAGATCGTATAATAAATATGTATCACACTATTTATTCGTATTTTACTCACGGCCGTCGAATATACAAAAAATCGTCATGAATTTGTATGTTGCTGTTACTGTTAGGTTGCACCACAATGACGAATTGATTTTGCTGATTTGCTGTACTTACAAAAGCCTCGTCTTTCCTTGAATGATTTCGTCTGTGACGTCATTCTGTATAACTCACGATTGAAGTTAACGTTTAGAACACACGTATGTGTGTTATTGAAGCAAACGAAATGTTGTCAGTTGAATATTTAGACAATAATTCGCAGTCAAGTAGCGACGTAAATATTATCAAGTCTGATCGCAATGGGCAACCATTAATGTTGATGATTCAGGGTCACGTGCCTTTGTTTGGAGTCAAGCTTCAGAATGCGACCGCGGGGTGGCACCACAATCTCAAATTGTCAAGAACTGAACTTTTTGCTGCTATACAGAAAATTATTTATTAGTAATGTAAAAGTATGTTTTGACTTGAAATCTTACCGTAAAATAGCAACCCCATATAGAAAGTTGAATGAACACAATTCTAGTTTGTAGATAGTAATGAAAAAACAACACCATGTAAACTCTGTATAAATTTATTTCGTTACATATTCATAATTCATTTCATTATATAAACTACACACACAACCGGTATAGTAACTAACATACACATTAGTTATTTCATAACCATAGATACCAATTTTCCAAAAATAAAATTTGTAGAGAACCTGCACGTACATTTATAAAATGCTCTTCATTATACAGATCAGATAACATGTACTCCACAAGGTGTGAAGAATAAGCAAATTGTTAATAATATAACCCAACAATACCTCCAACAAGATCACTTCCCCATGGCCATACATACGAATCCTAGCAGAAACACAATTTATAGTAAACGAGTATATATTTTTTTAAACTTTGAGTGCTTCGAAACGTGATGTTATATAATATCAGGAGTTAGATAACGTCTTAAAAATGTTATTAACTCACTTGCTACGCATTATGCTACAATGCGTCGCTAAAGGCACCACACACATAACGTGGACTATTCCAGAGATATTGCATTCTTTGGTTGACAATCAGAAATGAATCTAAGCGAGCCACGCACAAAGGGTGGCGTATTCCAGAGATAATGCCTCCTTTGGTCGACGGCCGCAAATGACCAAACAAAAGTGATGCTTCAGCGAAAAAATTAAAAAACCATGATGCCGACGTCCATCTACACACCTCCACCTAGCTCACGCTGCACAGAGCATGACGAAGATCTTGGAATAAAGATGGTGAACGATTCGAAAGAATTTTTTCCGAATTTTCCTCGCGCAGAGCGTGACGAAGATCTTGGAAAGAAGGCGATGAACGATTCGTGATGATGATGAAGACTTTGTGCCGAGCGTGAATGAAGACCTCGCAGGACGCGTCTCTGCTAGCGTTATCGTTCCGGGGATCTCGCCATCGTCTCGGCTGCGGACGCGCGGCCCGCCGTCGTTTCGACGCGACTACGCCGCGCTCTTCACCCTATCCAGTATCGCCGTGGCGCCCGCATCCTGCAGCATCTCTCCCAGCAGCTTCCCGGCTCGCTCGGCTTCCTGCAAAGCATCCTGATTCAGCTGCGTCGCGACGATGGCCGAATACGTCTCGCAGTCGGCGACCTTCAAAGGATCAAAGGACGTTACACGGTGTTGACTCGTAGTAGGCAGACGCTCGGTCGCTCAGCCAAGCAGATACTGACGAGTGGAACTATGTGAATTTCAATATAACTTCTATCCGGAGCAAATAATCACAAATGTGTTACATTCATAAATGACATGAGTGATTATCTACTCCTGCTTCTATCAACATCAGGAAACGATCTGAGAAATAGAAACTATACGAGGACGCGTATCGTTACCACTCCGAGTAAAGATTAGAACAAACGCATAAAACCATTAAAACAGCAATAAGGAAAAAGAAAGAAAAACTCGATCCAAAAAATTTCAAAACATATATACAGTAATTTCGGGAGCGTTGTGTACCCGACACTTCAGCCCTCACCCGCTGCTTGTACACTCGCGAAACTCGAATCGTTAACGTGCGCTTAACGCGGCATTCCGCGCGGAACCTACGACAAACCCTCGACTCGTGTTTGTGTTGGCGTTCGTTTTCATGTTCCTGTTCGTGTTCATATTCATGTTCCTGTTCGTGTTCATATTCATGTTCCTGTTCGTGTTCATATTCATGTTCCTGTTCGTGTTCATATTCATGTTCCTGTTCGTGTTCATATTCATGTTCTATTACTATTTATTATCTATTATTATTTTATTAATTATTATTTACCGATTATTTATGTTGTATACTGCTTATTATGTATTATTAATTTATTGTTTTATTATACTTTTGGTTTTTTTTGAAATTAATTTGTTATTTGATTGTTACTTTAGCTCGTGGGACAGAGTCAGAGGCAGCGTGGAAATTCGCGGT